TTCCCTTTGTTCAAAAATGCTTTATAAAATTACCTTCAGAGGGTTAATAGGAAGCTTAAAAATATTCTGTCTCTGGCTTTCTGGGCATTGCTTCTGAATGCAGTTTATGACTTTCAAACTCAGATTAGACTGTTTCAGAAAACAAGAAAATGTGTCTGTCAGTTGACTCAAACATTTTGGTAGAATAAATAACAGTTTTTCATTTGGGGACTCATCACTGAAATATAAAATGGGAAAACATAATGTCTGCGCATACCAGCACACTTGGATAATTAACGGAATAGACACCAAAACAGGACAGTGGATTTGTTCAGGAAGTTCTTACAAGCCAGAATAGATTGGAACTATTAAACCTTGGCATAAATCCAAGCTAAGGCTCTAAAAACTACTTACATAAATACAGGCTTAGTTTTTAATGGAAACTGCTGCTTCTTCCTTTTACCAGCAAGCTATGGGGCAGACTTACCACTGGTTGTTCCCAGAAACAAGAGCGCAAGAAAAGGAGTCATTTGTAAAATGTTACTGGAAACCAAATGGCTTTGGCAAATGAATAGGTTTTCAAGTAAATCAGGTAATAGACAATGTTATAAAATATCTGTTTATACAAAGGGCATCCAGCACTTTTTTTTTAATGGGAAAAGCAGATTTTCATGATAGTCATGATTTAGTAATATTGCTTCTCAAGAGATAGAATGATAAATTACTATTTTCCCCACCAACTGGAAAGCACTGTTCTTTTTAGAAGGCAATTTGAGTTTGAATGCTTACACATAACAAAGGAACTTCCTTAGCAAAGATGCCATTATGAAAAAGGAATATACAACCTGAGGGGGGTGGAGGGTGGGGAGCCTTTTTCCACGCATCAAGCAAATTATCCTTAAAATTACATTATTACAATTTTAAAATTTCTTTTTCCATCAATTTCAACTATGTTAAGAATTGAAAGCTCTATTTTAAGATTTTATATATACCCAAGTTAATAAATTGTCGATAAGGAACAGAAGGGTACCTGGGCCATACATACAAACCACTAAAAAAAAAAGACATAAACACAATTTTTGGAGCAAGTTTCTACTAAACTGCACTACATTCCATTACTTTTGTGCATTGGGAGCATGGCCATTTCTAGTTAAAAAAACACAGTAAGTAACTTTTTTTTTTTTCTTAAAGGTAGATAGTTCTGGACAAGCAGAAAGAAAGGTGGGGCCCCATTTTATTTTGTTTCATCAGAAAATTTGAAAACTAGAACCATACAAGCAATGGAATTTAAAAATAAGTGAAGCACGTTGTATGACAGGAAGACGTGTCTTTAAACTGACTTGTTTTATCTGGGTAAGAGAATTGTACAAATTTCACACAAGTAAATCACTGGTGTCTAAAACCATATAAAATGAAATACAAAATGCTAGTTTAACAAAGACCAAGGAAAGACCCTTAGGAGTTTGAGATCATTGCTTTGGAACCAAAACAAAAAAAAAGCTAGCTATAAAATTACCACTTTGCAAGGCTTGCCTAATGGGACAGCAATTAGATCTCATAAAGAATCAAGTCATATTGCTGCCGGGTGCCCAAAACCTGCATAGAAGGCCAATGTATTTTCTGCTAAAAAATGTGAACAGTGGGACCGAGTAAAGGTTCAACTCAGAAAAGCGGGTCTAAGCAACAAAGTGATTTAAGGGAAGACAACTTTCCCAAGATGGGGAGAAATTTTCTAAAGCTTAAAAATGTGTATCCAATATTTATTGCTCTCTTCATGTACTCATATACTCAAGCATCATAACACTTGATATAATATTTACAGTGATTATTCCATATCATCATGCTGATGCCGCACTGTCATATGCTGTTTCTGTGGGCTCTGAAAGTGAGAGAGAGACCTTTATAATTCCTGAATATTGTCTATACAAAATATGGAGTCAACCCAAAAAGACCAGATCCTGTCTGGAAATAATATACTGTATGCATGAACATGAAAGCTCTAAGATGCATGATGCGATGCATGCAGAATTACATGCTTTTGCTCTCCCTGCAAAACTCATAGCTAAGTAGAGTGAGAAATGTCCAAGTAAAACTGTACCTTTATAATTCCTGAGTATTGTCTATACAAAATATGGAGTCAACCCAAAAAGACCAGATCCTGTCTGGAAATAATATACTGTATGCATGAACATGAAAGCTCTAAGATGCATGGTGCGATGCATGCAGAATTACATGCTTTTGCTCTCCCTGCAAAACTCATAGCTAAGTAGAGTGAGAAATGTCCAAGTAAAACTGTACCATTCAAATACATCCAGCTTGCTCCTGCTCCCCCCTCCCAATCCCCCCAAAATCAATTTACAGCTGTACCAAACCATTTGCCAGAGTTTCAGATTCTGGTAAACACAAGTTCCTCCAGGGACAAATAAGAGCACTCACAAACTTACAGCATTCTTCTTTCCAGTTTGCATTGAAAACTGCGTAAACACAATTCCTCCAGGGACAAATAAGAGCACTCACAAACTTACAGCATTCTTCTTTTTCCCATGAAAACCTGCCAATATTTACATATGGAACAGCTGATTGCTGATTTTTTTACAACACTGAAATCATTCAGTGAAGAAAAAAATTAAAGATATTCAGAACCTAAAATAGCATGTTTAAGTATTTCATTCTTTTCTTGGAGATTTTTCTATTGACTCCAATTAATCTTTTATGGGCTTGTGAACTTAGGGATTTTTCTTTGTATAAAAGAAGTTGATTGAGTTAATGGGCCCTGCCAGCAGGTTGTTCCAAGCTTTATTTACAACACCTGGAATTTTGGAAAGTCTTCTTAATTATTTCCTTGTGAATATATTTTTTATATATATATATAAACTTATTGGATCATGCTAACAATGTCTCTTTTAGGGCCAATTTTGCCCTTTTTTTGGATGACACTCTCTTCTGCATTCACTTTATTTATAACTGTGCTTAATCATCAAGGAAATTTTCAGCACATGTTTAACATGCAAAGCAGAATATTTCTGGGAAGAGTAAAGACAGAAGCAATAAAGAATTATGTGAACAGCTAAGGGTAAAAAGTTGATAATTTGGGGAATATAATTTTCCCCTTTCGTAGTAAGAGAGCAGGCATTCACAAACCCTAGCGAAGACAGTGGTACTTAGAACCTGGTAAGCTCCAGCTCTGAATGGACACCCATATAGACATGCCCGCAACGCCTACTAGAGCCACACAATTGCTTTATTGCAAGAGAAGTCAATCAATACCGCAGGCACACAACTTTTGATGCTTAATGCTACTAGCATTTCTTTTGCCAAGTCAGATTCCAAAATCAGCCATGATGCCACACTTCTAATTCACTATCATCTAAATAAACAGATCTGAGGATACCTGGCTTTTAATGGCACTTTTTATGTATTTTTATAGAACTTAGGTATTTACAACATTCTCCTTATTGTCTTAACTAGACCCTAACCATTTAATCCAACACCAGAAATCCAACCTCAAAGCAAATACGCTTACCTGAAAATCAAACCACAACACATATCTTGGGAATAGGAGGAGCGGGGGGTTGCAGTTATTTCAATTTGTTGGGTTTTTTTTAATCTCTGAAGACCAGGTATGTGTTCAAATCCAGGATTTTGGTTTGGTCCTTTCTCTTCAAAAAGTATCAGTTGCTACCTGAGCTCATTGTCAGAACACAACGCACTACAGCACTTTCAGGACATCTAATTTCCAGTACACCATATCAGTTTACACCAAGAGCAGGATGTAGCTTCACACCCATCTTTAGCCCTGGCACAACGGCATTGATATAGGCTGCAACAAATTAAAGTCTAATCAGTTGCTTTCCTCATCCCCCTTCCCACCTGAATCACGGATCCTTGTTCAGTTGCATTGCCTGCCTGACTCCTTCAGAAGGTTTCAAGTAATAAGGCATTCCACTAAGGCTGCCTCGATCTTCTGCAGTGCTGCGTAATTTGAACATACGCTAAAACTAAGCTACCATCAATTCATAAATGTAAGACTGACTTTGATTCTGGTGTCCTACACAAAACCTGCCTCTATGCAAACGGTTTACATGATCGACGTGTATCATGATCAATCTGTAATGTGGGAAATAAGTAAAAGGTAAGGCATTCCACTAAGGCTGCCTCAATCTTCTGCAGTGCTGCGTAATTTGAACATACGCTAAAACTAAGCTACCATCAATTCATAAATGTAAGACTGACTTTGATTCTGGTGTCCTACACAAAACCTGCCTCTATGCAAACGGTTTACATGATCGACGTGTATCATGATCAATCTGTAATGTGGGAAATAAGTAAAAGTATTGTTGCTCTGGTTTTAAGCTGAAAAGTGCTGCAAGCTTTATAAATGTCTCCTTTTTACAACAAAGGTGAAAGAGCTTGGAATGCACCCTTCCTGACTGCTTCAGTTTTTCACCTGTTCCCTGAACTTTTTGCTCCATAGGTATGCAGAAGGAATTTGAGAATTTGCCTAAGGTGCTTTTTAAGTTCTAAGGATTGGTGGAAAAGGAAATGGAACACTGATCCGCCTTTAATGTTGAAAAACAGAGAAGAATCCCTTTTTATTGCAATGAAAATGTGTTAACATTTCAAAATTATAGCCCTAAATTGTTAAACTGCCAAAAAGCTCTCTCTTTACAAATATTAGAAAGTTTACAAATTCTCTCAAAATTACCAATGCTGCATGTAATCATCTACTTAGCAATATTTAAGTACTCTAACCTCTTTACGTTTTTTCTCTCACACACAAAAAAATATCACTGAATGTTATTATCCATAGATTTATTTGCTTTCCCAGTAGACTACCTTTAAATCCTATTTAATACGAGTTAAAATCTGTAGTCTTGACAGGTATGGTTTTCTCATCTAGCGCTTGAAAGGCACAGTGTTCTCTGTAAAGTGCCAATGCAGCAGCAACTAATACAGAGAAGGCCTTACAGCAAAGCCTACCACCTTGCAGCAGTTCATACCGAGAAAAGTTTAGTTCATACCTCTGTGATTGGTGAGGTCTCTGGATCCCGAAGGCAGAGGTGTATAGTACATCTCTGGAGAGGTGGAGGCAGCATCACTGGAGGCCTGTGTGATAAAACAAATATTATCAGTACTCTGAGTGAAAGTCAATGACTACGCAAAGAGGCTGCACCTGCAAGGTGAGTTCTATGATGTGGTTACAGGTGCACAGAGTCGCCAGCCAATGGAGGATTAATTTGGTTTTGTTAAGGCTGCCGGCAATCCTTCAAGGTAGTTGTACTCACAAGAGTTTACACAATGATATTAGGTATCATTACCAAAAGAATATTTTCATACAGCTCACAGCTTCAAAATACTACCATCTTTATTAGGAAATCTCTGGGCAATGTTAAAAATGTTCCTCTTGGTGAAACAGATTAATATTTACCTGAAGGAAGTTATGAGCGAGTCCATATGTGAGAAAGGAGACAGAAAATAGAAAGCTGGCATAAGACACCATACTTTTCAGAACTAAGCAAAAAACTGATTCTTCCATTCCACTGTCCTGTGAGCTAAATGAAGGGATCTCTTAAAAATTATAATGCCTATAATGCAAAAAAGTGGACAAGTATATAGAATTGTTAATAATAAACACTTAAAACCCACACGGGAAGTCTAATGCATATAAAGAAGTAAGTACCAAAAAGACTTGCTCAGAATCCTTAAAAGCAAAATGTTAAGGGAGAAGAGAGGAAACCCAAATCCTTTCCCATAATAAAAATTTCAAGATCCTATGATTCCGATTTAAAACGATTAGACCGTGGAGCTATAGTTTGCAATAAACTAATCTTCATCCAGTTGGAGGTTTCATCTTTAAGGAAGGAACAATATAAAGCCAAGACAAGCCACATTTACCACCTTGCTTTTTAGTTACAGAGCAGCAGGTTGTGTTGTTAGGAGGAGATATGAAAATAAAGGATCGTGTTGGTGAATATGAATCGTCATCACAGTTTTTAAAATTTAGCTTAAGTTAGATGGATTGATATCATGGTAGCGACATGTCCAGCTTCAGGTATAGAGTTTGCTCTGGAGGGTTTACAATCTACCCATTGCAACGTACAGAAAAAGATGATGGGTCTTAATAGAAGACACAAAGGACAGTGTTCACTAAAAGTTATATGATAATTTCTAATAAAAGAGATAAGGCAAATAAAGAGAAGAAATACAAAAGCTAAACTATTTCTTGAGTCTCATGATAATTTACTAAAGGGAGTCTTGAGGAAATAATTGCTACCTTCTATGCAGGTTGTTCCCTAATGATATATTGGCATATAAGCTGCAAAAGTCAATCCAAGGAATCCACCTCAAACTTACTTCTTGTTTTGTAATTAATCATATCCCCAAAATTTATTTTTTTTTTAATTGAAATGAATTCAAAACCAGATTTACAATGTCTGGTTAAGAGAAAAGTGTAAAATAGGGCTATAATGTTTTGGAGAAGAAAAGGCTTAAATACTAATTCAAATCTTAATTGCCAGACTAAACCTGAGAACAACAATCAGAAATCCACAATAATGAAAATTAATCATGGTAATAGTTTGTTAAGGGCTGTAACTTAGAAATCTTCTTTGTCATAGCTGTTGGACTCCTAGATGATAGAACATTAAAATGTTAAGAGGTAAATGACTGAGTAGATAAGTATACTAAGCCTTTGCTTTTGGAGACTAGCTGACAATTTCTATGTCAGACCATAGCTACAGTCCCGTTTTTGTCCCTAGCAAAAATCAGGTCATAACTTGAAGATCCATCATGCATCAAAACAAACATCTTAATAGAGACAGGTTTGCCTAACCAGCAAGGGTGCTCCTTATTGGATACGAATAAAAATCTAGAAAATCCTGCCTCCGCTTTCTCACCTCCTTTTCAGAGAGGTCATGTTATGGAGGCAACTCTCACCTTCAGCTGGAATGAATAATCCTTTGATTTTAGCGAACTGTAAACACGCAGCTCAATCTACCCTGGACTATGAAGTATTGGAAATCTTCCCTCTGATGACCAATGTGAGCTGAGGGCACATAACACCTCAGAGGATGAGATAGGTGCCCCTAACACCCAGCAATTAACATCTGAAATGAATTCCAAGAACAGGCATCTGTTCACCACTATCTCTTTTCTTTGGGCCTAGTTGTTCTGGGTAAGACAAGAAGAAAAATGTCACTAACTATTTAACATAAGACTTCATCCCTGTAAATCACTCCAAAAGCTGGAGGAATAAGTGGTCTCATACTGTACACTCTAGATGTTATCTGCCTATTCAAGTGTACTTATTTGGGACTCTGATAATAGTGAAGGTTTCTCTTTGGTACTTTTAATCTCAATTTAGACTGTTGACAGCTTGATGATAGCTTTTCCTAAAATTACTGGAAGAGACTTTGCCTTTTCAGCAATATACCACTGAGTGAGCAAAACTCAAGAGCTTCTAAAAAGGATATTGGAGTGAAGGGGCAATTTAGCTTTATTTCCAATTTTAGGAGAAGCAAGAACAGGAGGGTTTGTTTATTGCTGTTTTGCTGTTATTTTATGTACAGTATATAATTCCCTGTCAAATATAGAACAGTTTTCATTACCTTTGAGCTAAGCATTCAGTTAGAGCAACTTTAATTTTATGGAATATCATCCAGGGTTAGGATTGTTTTGCACAAACACTGGCTGGAGTCCTGAATCACGTTTCCGAGTAAGCCTGCGCACCAACAGAAAGACAGCTATTTGTTTTCCCTACCACATACCGACGTTTGGCCCTAAGCTATTTTCCAAAGAGATTTGTATAGATCATATTACTCTTAATATTCACAGGAATATTTTGACAGTGACAGCACTGACATGTGACAGTTATGTCTTCAAGTATTGGTGACATATGCATCAGAAGTTCTTGTTGCAGTGGAAAGTAACTACAAATACAAATAGCTTTGAGGAAAGCTGGTTAAAATGGGCGGTAGCTTCAGTTGTATAGGAACAGGTCACCAAATAGCTCACTAAAGAAATTCTAACAGTATTATTACAGGAGAAACTTGTATTCTTGCAAGCGTTACAGCAATCCAAAATTTGCAGTCTATCATAGTACGAGGTATAAAAGTTACAAGACCAATAAAGTTAGACTACTCACAGCCTAAGTTATGCACATAACCAAACATTTGCTAAATTGAGGTGTCTCTCTCTTCATATTACCCTGTAAGTTTTGTCCGAGCTAAGAATTGTTGTACTTGATACTAAATAGACAGATTGTAAAAGAGTACCAGATTTTCAAACCATGTTCATCAAAATTACAGATAGTGTAGAAGCTGCAGCAGGAAAAAAAACAAACCACCACCAACCAAACAAAAAAAACCCAACCAAAAAAAAACCCCAAAACCTAAACTTTGAGTCATTTTAATTAAAGCAATGGTTATTGTTTACAAAATTTTACTTTCTGTTGATGAGTAAGACGTGGCTTGATATTAGGCTATATTGGCTATAATGGAATAGCATTAATACCCGTTGACAGTTAATATTCTTCTATTTGTCACATAGCTTGTATTTGTATCCTAGTATTTCTCTACTAATATTTACCCTTATCTCTAAGGCATGCCACAAATTCTTTACACACCTATACATATCAGTAACTGTAGCAGCCATTAATGCTTTATACCTGACAAATTTTACCATAAGGGAAGAACAGCAGCATGTTGGCATGTTCCTGACAAGGGTTCAATAGATATACAATGCACTTATGGAAAGATGTGGTAAGTAAAATTGTTTCAATACACACATACATACAAAGGAAGATGTCCTTAGCTAAATACGTTTAATTCCAAAATATTTTCAGAGGACGTCACAGAGAGGAATCTTAGTTTGAACACGACATCATCCAAAAGAGAGATGGTAGAGTGCAGAATGAGATGTGGTAGCGAAAACCAAAATAATTAAGAAAATATTATTTACTATGGAGCTCAAGACATAGACTAAGGATTCTCTTGTGTCTGTTATCTTAGAAAGATTTTAAGTTTGGACTTTCTCCTTTGCAACATGTTTCTCATCTAGTATGGGAATATCTCAAATCTCCAGCATTTCAGAGTGTGACTCATTTCTTTCAGGGAACTGGTGAAGAGGCAAATTTCTTGGGGACAGCGTGATACTCATTCTCTAAGTCTGACCCACAATTATCAAGAAATCTTGTGTTCTGTGATACTGTTGTTTATTTCCATTCATCACAGTTTTAACACTTGTCAAAGTCATCTAGTAAGGTCACAGAGAAATGACCTTAGCAATTTGAAAGCTCGTTGCCTCTCATTTGGTGATTTACAGTCAAATAAAAATGGAAAACAATATTGTGACATTGCAGTGATCAGCCCAATGGTACGTATCACATTATCAGATGCAAAACTTGGATTTAGTAAGAAAGTATAATTTATTTCAAAAGATTTTTAATACATCCACAGGGAAACTACAATTAAGAATGAAGGAAATCACCGCTTTATCCATTTTTTAAACTAACAAAAACATTTCTCCAGAAAGGTATACGATTAGTGGGACAATCTGTGGTATAGTTCCAACTTAAAGGATCAACTCATACTTGCTTTTGAAAAACTTTTCCTTTTATGTAAACAAACAGTAATATTTTCCTGATAAGCTTATTCTGTCTCAAATGCACTTAATGGTTAAAATTAATCATACTTTAACAGATACATGGCTTATTACAATTTTAAGAAATGTCTGCATAAACATCTACTTAGGCTAAGGACTCATTTTGGATCTCTTGGGCCCATATATCTTCCCCAAGAGACACAATGGCAACAGTCTTCAATAATTCATATCTCTTTGGAAAACTTGCCTAAATATCTGTGTACCAATACGTCAGCATTGTGTCGATTCAACCCCTTCGTAACACTGACGGCAGCGACTCACATGTCTTAACCCATGAGTATATTGGACCATCATGATTTGTTCACATTTGTGATAAAACGTACAGAAACTTTCCACAGAACTCCTCCTTAAGATTTTTTCCCAAAAAATTTTAGACATAACTAACTAGAAATTAATTGTTTACAGATTAAATCTATATATAAAGCATGTATAAATGTGTGATGAGG